CATGCCCACTTAGGCTATAGACAATTTGATTGTTGCATGGATATTGTATGGTGCGTAAGGATGTAAAATGATTGTAATATTGTTGTTTATACCATAAATTAAAAAAATTACACGTCCGCATTAAGATTTTACACGTGTAAGATCTTTAGAGGATTTTTTGGAGAACAATTGTATAATTCGTAATTTTAAATTAAATAATTATATTAGTTATAACTAAAAAAAGTATTTCATTTGTTCATTTTAGTACATTTAATTTGAAATTTTAATTTTTTAAACATAAATTTTAAATAAAAATTTAATATATTATATAAATAATAATTAAAAAAGTTTAATCAAATAAAAGTACTAAAAAAAAATTTTATGTAAGAAAAAATTTTTTAATTAATATTTATATTAATTGTTAAATTTTTATTTAAAATTTATATCTAAAAAATTAAAAAATTAAATTTATCCTACTTAAAATAAATAAATAAAATAATTTTAATTTTTTAAATAATAAATATTATTTTTTTATTAATTATTAGTTATTTTTAATAATTACATTAAAATAAAAATTTAATAATTTTGGTAATATATTAGTTGCAGTATTCATACCCACCACAAGCACACACACACACCAAAAGAGCAAAAAGCCAAGACAACGGAGAGGGAAAGGAGTGACTAGGGAGACGCATCGTAAGACACGACCGAGATATGGCAAGTGGGCAGGGCGTGCACTGTTCACCGGGTTACCGACAATTTTGTTAAAATTCCACAGTGAGTCCCACTTGTCTTCCTCTCACACCAGTCACCACCCCGACCCACCCACCCACTGGCCATAGTGGCCACTGCATCTGCCTTTATTATGTGAGTCCAACTCCGCCCCAAGGTCAGGTGGGGACTCCTTCTCATCCCAACCCAGTCACGGTGTCCCTGGACCACCCTCTTTCATTTAAGATTCAACAATATGGCCAAGTTATTGTCACCGTCCATATATTTAAATTGTTAACCTCATTAATTTATTTATAATTTTATTAATTTATATTATTTTTTAAAATAATTGATATTATATTTAAAAATATTTATTTATAAATTTATTTTAATTTATTAAATAATAAATATTAATTATTTTATCAATAATTAAATTAAGATAAAAACTTAAAAATTAATAATAACCCAACCATCTGAACTTTATTTGGCCCTTCTGCGTTTTCTTCAGTTAGCTTTGCTTGAACTTCTGGAAATTTGAGGCTGTCCGAATTAATAATATATTTTGTTAGCTGATTTATTTATTTTTGTTTTGGGTATTTGAAACCAGGAAATTCGATTCATCATAGATTGATTCAACCTTTTAAAAAAGCAAAGAATATCTCTTTTTCCTTTGAAAGAGAGACAAAAAGATGGAATGTCAGTAATTGTAACCAGCTTAATATTTTATAAATCAATTTTAATACGTTAAAACAAAAAGTATATATTTTATACAAAGTTAGAAATAATCAAGACTTAATATTTAATTT